GGTTCTGAAGAAAGGGTCTTGTCTCTTCTGAGCTTCTACTCCTGAGCAGTATTCATGTGACTTGGCATCTCTCTTTTCCCATCTCTGTTTCTGTAATCTCCTTGTTTCCTCTCTCTTCCATGGCACATAACCGCCACCACCACCATACCTTAAAATAGATTGACTCAAGATACACCCTTCACTATAGCTACCTCATTCACTTAACAAAGACAACCCACTCCCAAATGGGATTACAACCATAGGCATTGTTGTTATTGTTGTTGTTGTTAAATGGTTTTGAGTCAGTGCTGACTCAGAGTGACCCTATATAGGGTTTCCATGTCTGCAAATCTTTGGGGAAACAGAAAGATTCACCCATGGAGTGGCTGGTGGGCGTGAACTGCCAACATTGTGATTCAAAGTCTAGTGCTTATCCTATAGAGCCTCTATTTTCCTGGCCACAGGTATAGAAGTTAGGATTTACAAGTACAACACAAAAAAGTTGGAGGGATGGTTCAATAACCATCCCCCAAAAACACACAACAGTCCATGTTGTTGTTAAGTGTCATCAAGTCGGTTCCAATTCATAGCAATCCTGCATAAGGTCTATGTGGAGTGGCTGATGGGGTTGAACCATTGAACTTGTGGTTAGCAGTCCAGTGCTTATCCTACACTGCCACACCAGGACTCCAATTCAGTCCATAACAGTGTGTAAAGGATCAATGATTCTTCATAAATTAAAAACGATTAGCATAAGTCTGTATGACAGGGAAGCAGGAAGGACTAAACTATTGCAAAAATTTCACTTCCAGTCTAGTTACTGTAGCAAATGCTTTTGTCTCTTGTCCTCACTTCATTCTCTTAGACTCAGAACAGGTTCATCAACGTCAAGTGGCATAAAAAAGGAGGCTCTATGAGCAAAGAAGATAATATTCTTCTTTATAAGAGGATTCAGCAATCTTTGGAGTTAAGCCAGGGTCTGGCTAACATGGAGGAGATGGATTCTCTGCAGTGGCAGAAGATAGCTACAGAGGACTCGAGACAAGGCGGGTCTCTCCAAGTAGCACTCATGTCTCCAGTGTTACAGACAGGTAATAATAGCCAGCACTGTATTTTGTTTGATAGGCAATTGAGATATATTCATATTTAGTATTTAGTGATGATTTGCTGCATGTCAGCATTGTGCAATGTCAGGGTTACCTCTTTTGATCTTCAAAATAGCTGATGAGGTTAGTGCTGTTTTTGCAATTGTTGTTAGGTGTCATCAAATCGATTCTGAACACCATATCCATTTTAGAGCTCAGAGACTGAGGCGTAGAATCCTTGAGTGATGCCAACAGCTAAATTTTTTCAACCACTAAGCCAGAGCTCTGATAGCGTAGTGGTTATGAATCGGGGGACTGCAAACCACAAGGTCAGCAGTTCGAAACTACCAGCTGTTCAGCGAGAGGAAGATGAGGCTTTCTGCTCCCGTAAAGATTTACAACCTCGGAAACCCTGTACAGGGTCGTTATGGGTTGGAACCGACTTCACGGCTCACAACAACAACAAGCCAGAATGCTGGCATTCCAAATCCACCCAGAGATCCCTCAGAGGACAGACTTATAGATCAGCTTCCTAAAAGTCACAGAGGACAGACTTATAGATCAGCTTTCTAAAAGTCACAGCCTTGAAACTCCTATGGAGCAGTTCCGCTCTGCACACATGAAACTCCTATGAGTCAGAATCTACTGGATGACAACTAACAACAGGAACGGAAGCACAAAGAGGATAAATGACCTTCCACCAGAGGTTCCACAGTAAATTACAGAGCTAAAATGGGAATCCAGAGCCCTCTGCTGGCTCGGAAGGGAGCTGCTGCACTCCTGTTCAATGAGACTCA